CTCTCACCCACACACACACACACACACACACACACACACACACACACACACACACACACACGTATGTAAGCAAAGTACTGCACTTCACCTTTTAAATTATTGAGATAATATACTTATAACCAAAATTGGGTTTCTGCTATGACCATCTAGTACATGTGGTGATTGCGGCATCATAGACTTAAGTAGGAGCCCCGAGGTAGACCACGTGTGTCATCTGGAGTGTGAACACTTTGGCAACCCTGAGGAGGGGGGAAAAAAGGGATTGATGACGAAACAACACGTTATAACCCAGTGACACCGGTGTTGACAACAAACATGCCAGACCAGAACAACAATGATTTCGCCCTCAGGGGATGTTAGGTGACCATCATGCCATTATGGCTTTTTTTTTCTGCAGCTGCCAAGTGAGGAACATGCTGTTTTTCCCCAGAGCATTTAATCACTGTTTTATACTAGTGTAATTCATGTTTGTCTCATAACTGCTCCATAACTCAGTATTAAAATGAGCAATTAAGTTAGCAATGTGATCAGAAGAAGCTAGATTCTTCAATAAACAGTATAAGTCACATTTTCTTAGACAAAACAGCAGATTTGTTTGGTTACTGCTCTGAGTAAAATAAAAACTGTACATTCTCCACCAAACACACTACTTACAAAGATTTGATAGGAAATTCAAAATGATTTGGATTCAATAAAATGCTACTGAAGCCCATCACTAAACCTAGGTTACTGCTTCATGTCAGTGTCAGACATGAAGCTAGCAGGTAGTTTGGTAGTTGTTGACTGTTTATGACAGACACAGTTCTCCAAAATGTTCCTGGTAAAACTTCCAGGGGAACAGTATCATTATTTTAGAGTACTGCATTTGTTTAGCATTGTACTTCTAAAAAAACACTGTCAGACTCACAATGCAATATTTTTTTTTCATGCATTCTTCTTCCTTGTCATAAACCTGACACCTACGTTACCCACAGTGCAACTTGACCACCAGCAGTTTGGACAGAGATTCGGGTGTGTTATGCTAGTAGCGGCTAATGTAGCCTGCAGCAGAGATGAGCAGTGGGCTACACAGGTTCAGTAAGCTCACTTCTTTCCACATCCCAGATCTTTTTTATTTTTCATTTCAAACGTGTGGTCTCCAGCTCCAACCAACAATGACTGATGAAGAGACATCACTTGAGGCAGTTTATCTTCATGCAGCTGCACAAAAGACTTTTATATAATACTTTGTCACATATTCAGCATTTCTCCCAAAAAATTGGTGCACATTCCTTTAAGATGATCAAATTAAAAACCTCTGAAACCATTTATACCCTCTGCCTCTGCCCTAAATTCTAGGAGGAAAAGGTAGATGTTGTTTTAACTTACTATCTACTAATGTACTGTTTCCATTTTGTTTTTATTAAGTTACTGTCCTTTATCTTTTGGTTTTATATTTATATGTCCCATGTTTTTATGTGTGCTAAATGCATATATCCCACCGCTGCATACCCAATTACCCCACTGGGGACAAATAAAGTGATTGATTGATTGAAACAGGCTGGTATTAAAATCTGAAACTATCTAGACAACAGATTCTGGTCTGGAGTCTGATTATAAAATTTAACAGAACAATTTAAAATCATGAAATAAGATATTTTACTCCAATTGCTCAACCCTTGGGTGAACTTTTAATCATGTAGTTGTATTGAACTTCATGGATTCATATAAACGTCTACATACATATGACAACATAACATCCCACATACCATGTATCAAAGTAGATGGACACAAAATACAACACATACTGTAAATAAATTCCATAATCCACACAAAACATCAGTAAATTTCATTAAGAAATTACTCCACAGTTTAGAAATAACCATGTCACTATGTAGAATGAAGAAACTGGATTGTTACCTGCAGCCCGTTTTCTCTTTGGCCCCCTCTTGCTGGGCTTCTCCACCTTGGCTTTCTTTCCCTTTTTCCCTCTTTTTTCTTCATAGTCGCTTCCCCCATCTTCATCCTCCTCCTCTCCAAATTCGTTGTCTTCATCATCGCTGCCAAAGTCATCTGCGGCAGCAAAACAGAGGGAAGTCAGTGAGCCGGCATTCCAGTGTTCACTGTCCACTAATCAGAGTCCAGCTGTTTTCACAGAGCGCCTGAGCCAACCTCCTCGTCCAAAGCAGAAAACAGATTTTGACTTACCTGCTGAATCATTTTTGGATTTGGAAAGCTTATCATCAGAGTCCTCACTGCAACAAAGAAGAGAAAAAGAAACAAAATGTTAGCAACTAGAGGGAGGGTAGTGTGGAAGACCAGGATCAAAGCACAGATTTTATCTACATTTCATTTGGTACACAAATACCAAACAACCAAACAAGAAGTGGGGGTTGGAAAACCTAGAACTGGTCCTAGATTACTGATAACCTCCTCAGCAAAAATGTAAGAGCAATGCTTTTGTTTCTGATTCCATTGCATCCATCTGATTTTTTCCAATGCAGTTTACAAAACAAATTGTCTCAAGTTAAGTTCTTCGGGTGTGACATGCTGATTTGCTGATGAAACAGCATGATCATCACACAGGTGTTTATTCTTATGGGGAAGGTAAAGGGATGTGTTTTGCTGCACAACATGAAGCCACATATTTCAGAGATTGTGTACTCGGCATATTGATTGCAGGAATGTCCACTGATTGCTGTTGACGGTTTGCACCAGTATCCTTGAACATCACACGGACATCAAAAAAAAAAAAGAAAAAAAGAATGTGATACAAACATCTCTAACTGTATCGTCTACTGACTCTGCGTGTTGTGCCAGGACCCCGTGTTGTGTTTATTGAATTTTAAATTTCTTCTCAGTTTAAATGTGGCTAATCATCCACTAAAGATGACATGCTCCGAAGTTCTGCGTACATTATGTGGCGTTAAGACAACCAGGTTAAAATGCTCAGACAAAGCGAACACCACCTACTATGACATGAGTTACCAGTTTGTAATTCTCTGAGCAAAGCAGCTACTGCGCCACTCTCAATGCATTCCCCCCTTTTATTAACAATATTATGTGTTACAAGTATCAATAAGAGCAATAATAACTATTGGTACCAATAAGCTGTAGCAGTGCCTGATATCAGAACAGATCATTTCCTCTTGCTGTATATATCCATGATAAAAAGAAAAAGATAAAAATTCCAATATTTAACTATGGAGTAGTGGTTTCTGGTGTGCATTCTCCCCATTGAGAATCACTTTTAGAGAGGTAATACATCACACACTACACCCATGACCAATCGAATGCAGCACGTCTCCCTCCCTCAGTGTCCTCCTGCTGAGCTTCTTCCTCTCTTCCAGCACACCCACCAGCTCTGCTGTCTGACACACTGTCTCAGCACACCTGGCTGTCTAACCCACTAAACATGGATTTGATCAACTACCCATTTCCTCTCCTCTCTACCCCATGAAGGTTTACACACCTGCCCTACTACATCCTAGTGTCTTAGTGCTGACTGTGCCCATCTCCACCCTGCTTATAGAGTCTGCTGGATCCTCAAGGCCACACCTGCTCCTCTCTGCAGTGTGTTGACGTGGTGAAATCGTAGATGGCGCAGGATTGATATATATCGGTGCAACACATGTGAATGGGCTGTGTGTGCAATCCGAAAAATAACGATATAATCAGCCAATTTATAAACTCACTACATGTACTGTAGGAATGTGGTAGACACAGTCTCCACCAGGGGCTCACCTGTCATCCTGCGAGTTCTTTGAGCGCTTATGCTTCGGCTCACGAGGGGCTGTGCGCACCTTCTTCGGCTTATCGTCACCATACTCCTCATCTACGGAGAAAGGAACAAGATGTAGTCTTTTGCTCGCATTTATCCACACACAAGGACAAATTCATGCACCAATACATTTTTATTTGCCTTGGTAGCGCTCTCTTGATATATCTTTGCTTTTTTAATGGTAATTTTTGGAGTCTTTTTAAAAGTCTCGCTAGCAGCCTTCAGATGCCTTGCCAATCGTAAATAACTGGGATCAATGTTATATGAACAGACTAACTAACTAAAGCTATTATCTTGCTATGCTAATATATAATAGACTGATAGGTGTTTGTCACATTTTACATATTTTATAGGTTTAAAAGCTTCTTAGGCTACGTCCACATGACTACATTTTGGTTTTAAAATGCATCTCTTTTGCTACGTTTACTCCTCCTGTCCACACAACTCAGCACCTAAAACAGAGACTTTTGGAAACGCATTTGTCCTGATTTAGTTTGACAACTCTGGGATTGTGGTGTTGTACCATGCTAGCGGCACTTGTCTTTGCTAGCAGCTGTTGTTCAGTGAAATTCTGCATTTTAACGCTACAACTGTCTATAACTCGTCAGTAGTATTTTGTGCAACGTATCAGCTACAGAGTAGACAATCCACTTCCTGTTTACACCAGCTCGTACACATCTGGTGTACGTGATTGGATTGAAAACGTAGTAGTGTGGACGTAGCCTAGTCTGATAGCATGGGATTAAATAACCTAAATAACTGTGTTGTTATGACATCCCTAGAGCTGTTATCTTGACAGCTGGACTAATATATATATATATATATATATATATAAATAACAGGCTCATATTCTTTAATGTTAAAAGGTGTTTGTCACATTTGACATATTCTATAGGTTTTAGTGCTTCTTAGTTCCAGTATTGTCTTAACGTGGCTGACACAACAGTGCATTCTACCATACAGGGTTGAGCAATGTGACAGTATAGTGTACACCATGAGAGGATAAAAGTAAGTTTATCGTCCAAAGATGTTGTCGTAATAGTTAGTGGGAGCTATACCTTAAATATCTGGATGTTTTAGACATTTGTGTACAACTGTTCTACGGTAATATTATGTTTTTATATGATTTTTGCAACTTGATTTTTGAATCAAGGTGATGAATTACTATATATATATATAATATATATAATATATATATATATATAATATACACACACCACACACACACACAGCACACACACCACACACACACATACATACATACATACATACATACAGTTATGTGTGTGTGTGTGTGTGTGTGTGTGGACATCATGATGTAGAGCAGTGGTTCTCAAACTTTTTCACATCAAGGACCATAAACTGAAACAAATTAGACCACGGACCCTCATCTGATAAGTTTTCTGCTTTTTATTACAGAAAGTGTTCGAAACCAATGAACCAAAACATTCATACACTCTGTCATTGTGTTACTTGTGGATAGAATTATAGTGAAAATAAAGTATTCCCCTTTTTGCTGTGACCCCCCGGAACCCCCTCAAAGACCACTTTGAGAACCACTGATGTAGAGAATCATACATAGTGACAGTAAATTTCATCCATATTGCCCACTACTGTTACCACATACAGTCAATCACATGTAAAGCCTCTCTTACCTGCATCGTCAGACTCGTTGAATTGTGAGTAGTTCACTACTTTCCTGTTCCTGTGAAGAAGCACATAAGCAGCACAACACACACACACACACACACACACACACACACACACACACACACACACACACACACACACACACGACCATCAGATTACATTCAGGACAGAGAACAAGGTTGCTTCACTGCCCAGGTCTGATATTAGACAGGTTAATGGGTGCTGGAAGGTGGGGGGTGGGCTACAAATCTATTACATGTTGTGTCCAGCAATTCAACAGGCAGCATCAAGTCAGCTGTGTGTGAATGTCTGGACTGTATTATTTGGTTTGAGAGGCCACAAATAGCCTCCAGCTGGGGGCACTGAACTGGACACTGCTCTGCCTTCTACAGTTTCCACGGCTAATTTGGCAAAGTGTATGAGGGAAGCCTCAGGTGACAGCAGTCAACTTTAGTTCAGGTAACACACACCTTTAGAAAACTGGGCGGCAAGGCTGACAAAGACCTGAGCAACAGTTCAGGCTAAAACCACTGAGGAATCATCCCTCCTACATTTTAATGAAAGGTGAACAATGCCTTTAAAAAACAACTTATAGAGACATAAACCATACAATACATTAACAGATAAAAAAACAAAGAAAAAAAAAAAAACACCAGTGCAGTGACCACATCGAACAACTGGTGGCACCCGAGATCATCTGCAAGCTCTGCCTGGGAAACTATGCATCTGTGTATCTGAACCAAGCTGAATACCACACTGGAGAAGTGCAGTGTCTGTGGTGGTGGGGAAGGGGGGGGATGGGGTGGGCATCAGTGCCATAAACAAGTACATTTACAAGTACTTAGATTACAACAACAGGCACACACACACACTGACACTCACCAAAGTAAATGCCTCAGACGTGCCACAGCAGCTTTGCTCACATTGCCACTCACATCTCAGGGATATCAGAGAGAGCAAGGTGCTATTTTTCCAACCAGCTCTATTCTAATGAGACACCAAACTGTGGACAGGGTGATGTGTGATGTGGCAATCTGATGAAACAGTAGCTAGTCTCAGTCATGGGCTACAATGCAACGTATTATGCCAACTTTTAAGTCTAAAGTGCAGTTTTCATTCAGTGTTATGATTTGTTCTCACTCTGGAATGTGCATCACCTCTTTCCGTGCCATTACTTTCAAGCGCAAACTGGAGCAGGTGAAGGGACAACATCTAAAGTGTGTTCATGAGGCTGTGATGAAGCAGCTGTCGCAATTCATTAAAACAACAAAGATTACTCGATTAATCGATAGAAAATCAATCTACAACTATTTGTATCCATTTGTTTGACCGAAAAACGTATGTTCTGATCCAGGATTCAGCGTGTGCAGAAATTTAGCTTAATTTAACTTTTCCATTGCAAAAATAGCACGTTTAAAGTCACGCCACAGCACACCCTGACATGTGGTTTCATACTCAGATACATGTAAGCAGATTGCAGAACACTAACCTACCCTTTTTATTACAGATTAATCTAATGATTATTTCGTTAATTAATCAGCCAATCATATTCAATATAAGTAGAGAAAATGCCCATCACAATTTCCCAGTGGCCAAGTTGACTTAAAATGACTTGTTGTGTCCAAACCCAAACATATTCAGTTTACTATCACAGAAGACAAAGAAAACCATCAAATCCTTATAACTGAAGTAACTGCAAGAAGTTGATGTTTGAGACTTTAACAAAAGATCGGAAATCTTATTTACCTTCTATCAATTTACTGACTAACTGCTTCAACTCCAGCTAACCTATATCCTGCCTTTTTGTTTATTTTTTCCATGACAAACACCGCAGGTTAGTATATCACCATATCTCTACACTGAACTACAAACCCAGGGGGAATCCAAGTCCCGATTATGACGTGATTTTTTAAAACAAATATTTGTTACATCCTTCCCTGCGTCCCACATAAACTGGCATTCGAGCTTTAACAGGCAAATGTCTGCAAGTAAAAATTAAAATACCAAACATTTCCTGGTTACAGCTCATCACATATGATCATTTCTGACAACTTGTGATGTGCATTTGTTTTTTTTAAATCAATTATGAAAGCAGCTGTTAACTGAATAATTACATTTTTAAGAACAGCAAGACATTAGTAGTTAGTTATTTTGTTTCAGCTCGACTTTGCAAAGTTGCTGGTAGTTTATCAATTTTCTTGTTCTTGTGCTGACGCTACTTGTCATTTCTCTCATATACACACAAGCGCACTACGCACCAAAGGGCATTTGGAGTATAAATCAGTACATGTAGTGATGATCGTTATCCTCTCAGCAACTGACATGACCTGTTTCAAAACTTTAAACAGCTGTTCCAGACATAATGGCACATGTCGAAAATGGGACGTAGGAAAGTAATGGGTCATTCAGACCAAATTCAGCGATGTGGTAAAAAAACAAAAAACAAAGGACAAGGCACAGCACCGGTTCAGGTAGAAGTGAGACAAATAAGACACCAAATCAATGTATTGTAGTCAACAATAAGGGATGCACCAATCTGATCAGTTGGAATTTTAATCACCCCAGATACTGACACTGCTGGACAGAGCAGGTATTGGCTAGACCTGACCAATCCACATGAAACACAGTGTCCTTATCAACATAATGATAAAATTCACTGTGTCTACTGTTAGTCACATACATTCAGCAACAGCAGGTTGACAATTCAGTTTTTTGTGTCACAGGAATCCCCTTGTGCATAATATGGTCTTATTTATCAAAGCGAGTTCCACACACTAGAGTCCTGCAGAGTACTCCAAACCAAATCCAGACCTGACCCATACCCGTAAGGTTAATTAAACACACAGGCTACACACTTGCTCACTTTGGATTCAGACTGTGTTTAAGAGGAGCCTGCACGGTGGCTGGTCTGAGGTTATCTGCCGTTTTGTGTAATGTCCTGTCCCATTCAGATGTTCGCTCAATCAGCTCCCACTTGTTGATGTGATGCAAAGTGACACAAAGATAACCAATTCGGCAGTAATCATCTGTGCACATATGTAAATTGACTGCTGTCAGTCAGCTGGATCCTCAGCTCTGGAATGATGATGAATCGAGTAGTGAGAGGTTGTGTCAATTGTAAAAACACAATGGCAGCTAGTTAGGCTTGATAAAATTACACTGGCTTAGATGATTAATAAAAACATGCCTCTTTTCCATTAGTTTTTTGCATTTAGTTAATTTTTTTACCCATGCGTTACGTCAAATAGGACTGGACGATATGACTTCAAAGACTATTTTAAACTTCTACCTCGATTACGAATGAATGAACGATTACTTTGCCACTTATCAGTGTTTTGAGCCATGCACTCATCATATTTGGCAATGTGATTGTGTTCCAAATAAACAAACTGGTGGTGTTACCTTCGGTCTCTATTCATGTTGATGTCATCACTATCTGGTAGTCGTGACTGATAAGGCGGGTGGGGGTTTCCAAAAGTCTCTGTTTTAGGGGCTTGAAAACTCTGGAGTGGTGTGGATGTCGGGTGTAAACATAACAAAAGTGATGCCTTTTAAAACTAAAACTTATTAGTTTGGATGTAACCTGGTGCTCGGTATTTGCGTTTGTGTTATCGAATCACCAGCTTCGCTTTGACTGAACCTGGACTAACGTTTGTTGGACGGGCCGGAGGCACATGATTAAACATGAGGCAGGGGACAGTTCATGAATGCACGCATTAGGCAAAGTATTAACAGAATTAACTGACATGAGCAAGATTAAGATGGTCAGTTTCTAAATGTCGGTTTTGGTTCTTTTCCGGTAAACTACATTTTTTTTTACCTGTTACACATAAGTTTTGCGGGTGGGCAGGACTCTGCTACACACTGAAACAAGCTGCTGAAAAAGACAGATAGTAACAGATCAGGATTCAGTGTCAGCACATACGCAGTGTATAGTGTTGGGAAAAGTCAGATTGTTGCATTCCAATTAATAATACTATGAAGAGGGATTCTCCAACTTTGGAAATATATAATCACATCATTTATCCAACTGCCAAGTAGCTGTGCAGTACCAGCCCAAGGTAGATGCTAAGCTTCTTAAAGTGTACTTCATGTCTGTGGAGATACTGATAGTCCAGTTGGTGCATTTCCTTCCCAAAACTCACACAAACTTACTCCGTCTGTAGTCAACTAAAATTAACTAAAAGTAAACACACTAGTTTGTGTGTTTATTTTTTCGTTGTTGAAGTAACCACAATGGATCATTGTCCTTAACGGCCCTGCACTTTGGTAAAGCGTTTCTTAAATTAGAGATTCCAGATATGATACGTGCGCCTGAACTTATTGCGCACTGGTCATGGAAAAATAAAAGCCAATGACTTGCTATTTGTGTGTGAACACAAGTTTTATGTTAAGTTCTGGTGAAAATAGGCATCTGGTTGTATGATGCAAATATATGATCACCAAACAGCTTCTCTTGTGGTGTGTCTCTGACCTACATATGAGGCATGCCTGCAATGTAATGTGCATAATATGTAAACGTTTGTTTTCTTAAAAATTCTACTGTTGATTTATTTATTGCGATGCACTACTTTTTCGAATTCAAGTGGTCATCCCAAAAATATATATTAATAACACTAGTTTAAAAAGAATTAAGTTGTTATCAATTCCAGATGCCATCATTTTCATACAGCACCTAAAGAAGATCAAAATTGTAAAACACGTTCAATCAAGGAAAGCAGTAAAACCTTCCATATAGATCCAATAAATGAGGCGTTTACATGCAGAGAAACTGCGGGATTTCGAGGATCTACTTTATGTTACATTTGCCTCCATAAAATGACTTCTAATCAAGTTAAAGGGCATTTTAATTTGGATTAAAAGACACCTCATGCGTTATAATCACAGTGGAGATCTGGCACTGGGGGGGGTGTGGTGACTTTTTGTAGTTCTCCGCCTTCCTCTGACATCAGCCAGCAGCGTTAATTTACAGCCAGCGCTGAAAATGTAGATCCGCGCTCCCCAGTCTTTCCCCCCACCAACAACCACCTTTTCGTTGCCTAATACGCGATTTTCTGCCGGTTTGAAACGCCAAAAACGTTTTAAATGCAGTGTAATGCGATGTAATGGAGCCTACGGCATGACATGCCCAGTCTGCGCGGTTAACAAGATCAAATCCCAAGGCCGACCACCACCTCCTCCGTTTTTTTTCTCCTTTCTGTGGAGGGGGGCTACTAGCGTTTTAGAGCCTTCCCTGGATGAATGGGGTAGCCATATTCTCATTCTCAGTCAGAGAGGGAAAATATTATCAGGCCTGGTTCAAGTGAGCCGTAAAACGTAGCTGGTTAAATCACACCGACTAATTTTCCGCTTGGCCTACATAGCAGCCAACAATGCACATCGTGGATCCATTTAAAAGCATGATAGACACGACACACAGCGGCGTATCTCCACAAGATATGGCGAACAGTCCACACCGCTGGGATCCATGTTAGAAAAAAACGAGGGTGCACACACGAGAGGGGAAACACACACGCACACGTTCCCATTATTTTTTCATGAAATAAACAAATTCTCAGGTCATAAAACACAACATGGTCGAGACGTGCATGTTAACTGCGACGCCTGCCAGCACGGTGTCGTTATTAACTAACGGAGAGCACAGGACAGATTTAGCACACCTACCTCACTGGTCTTGACATTTTGCAGGAATACTGTAGAGGTTAAGGATGTAAGAAAGGGGGGAGAAGAAAAAAGCACAGGGAAAAAAAAGAAATATAGATTCCCGCTCTGCAAAACACTGAGGGGAGCGAGGTTGACGCACAACTCCACCGTCCGAGCTAGCGAGTGAAAATAAAAGTACGACAGCGACTTGTCCTCCAAACGCAAATATTCTTAATTTTTTTACCTTCAGCTACTCAAAATGGTGAATAAAACAAACTGAAACTGCAGCCTATGTGCAACCAAACCCGCGGCCTTGAGGGGTGGGTCCTGGACGATAAGCACCGCCCCCACGGAGCCCTGAGAGGAGCAACTTGGAGTTCTTCTCCTGCCATTGGCTGATTTGAACGACGAATTTAATTTTCATTGGATACTTTAGGTGCTAATCGGAACACTTTTAGCATACAGTTCCCCGCCTCCGATAGCAGGCTCGGTTGAATTAGCACTGTTAAGAAAACAAAAAGAGGGCCTCAGGTTGGATGCAAACATTCAATTCAGTGAGGGTCCCAAAAGACCATAAAGCAACATTGCAATTATAGGTTGCAACGCACATAAACACTGTGTATATGATGATGGAGTAATTAGACTTTCTGTGTTATTGCTGGTACTGAGACTAGCCTTCTTCTCTTATACCTGGCACTGCAGCATGAGATGCAGGCTGTAAGCACTTGTATCCATAGCATTACAGCTGTAAAGCCTATAACATTCCAGTTACAGGTCATACACTTTATTTCAGTGATAGATTTTTTATCTTCAGACTGTAATGAGAATCTAGAACTACATTTCACACAGCCAAATTCCCATTAATTTTTATGGAAAGCAGCCCCCATGTCCTCAAACTTGCATTGACCAGGATTACCTTGTATTTAACATTGCATTTTCAGTTGGTCTGAATGGGTCAACATATAGACCTGGCTGCATGACCCTGTTCCTGACCTGGGCTTATTTCTGTTAATTTTACACTTTGGTATGAAAGGGTGAACAGCAGTTTGTATGATAACTTTATGATTAATATATGATACTGCTGTATATATATAATGTGCATTACTTCATCCGCACTAATTTGAATCTAAAGTATTGGGTAAATTTGAACATTTTTAATGAACAAAAATCAGAGACTCTGTTTAGCAATAGACCCTGGTTTTTAAAATGGTGACCACCTGAAATTAGCTTCGACTGCAGAAAGGGAGCGTTCATCACCCTGTGATTGAAAGTATTGCTGTAGCGAGCCTCCAAGGCCCAAATACATGGGATTTAGGATCAATAACTACAAAGTTAATCATCTTAAGCCATTTCCTCTGCGGTTCTGATTGGCTGGCAGCTATCCATCACAATTATATATCCGAACAAAGAAAGTTTAATCACCATTTCCAACAAGACTGCATACCTTATTCATACACAATGTTTTAACTTATTTATTTATTTATTTCATTTTTACTGTTTATATGTCTAGGAACAAGTATATAGCATGAACCAACTGCACATACTACAGCATTTAGAGCCTTAGCTAATTTGCAATGCTCATTCCTAGATGGCCTTTATTTACATATGTGCACAAATCACCTGATGCACGTGGATCTGTTTTTTGTGCTTTACAGATCAAATTCCATCCATTTTCTTCTTAACATGCAATAGCAAACATGCTGTACAGTCCGTCAATGAGCTGTGATGACAGATAACAGGGAAAAAAATCCAAATATTAAATGCACTAATGTTCCTCTTCTGGTGGTGGAGGACTTCCATATGCTGTGACTTCTCTAAAGCAACAGCTTTTCATTGAGAAAGGGAACTGACAATCTTCTGAAGACGAAGTTTGTTGAAATAATGTAATACTTTTTCATATGGAGAGTACATGTATTAATGCACATGCTGATGGTAAAATGTTATGGTAAGTGTTATAACATGCTAGCAAGAGTGGGTCCACGCATTGATGTGCAATTAGAAACTATAGAGCACAGTCCTGCTCCGTCTCTGGTCAGAACCACAGAACCACTGTCTTATCTCATTCATTAAGGAACCAGTTCCAGCCTGAATTTCCTCAAAACTCATTTACTTTCCCAAAAAGAAAGCCAAGTTTGCTATGCCATGACTGACGTTATTGTCTTCACAGTTTACACTACGTCAACGTACTCTAGTCATAATCACAATTAAGAATCTTGTATTTTTTAAAGGCTGTGATATGTCCAACTTAAGACTCAAGACTGCAGACGATCAGTATTTGATTGCTTAAAGATTTATTGTACCTGAAGAACTGTTTTGCTTTAGTTTTGACAGCTAAGGCTGAGTCTGAGATGTTCTAAAATGGCCACCGTGCCATTAACATGGTACCAACATGGCCTTTCTTCTGCCAGAAAATGATTTGTACCTATTCCGCTGTGGCATCCTTTACTTGCTTGGTAAGGTAACATGGTAAAATTTTGCTTCCCAAAATTTCAAAATCAATTAATACATCTCATATGTAGAACAGCTGATAGCTGATTTGTTGTTCAGCTGTCACTGCTGTCCTTTTTTCTGTTGAAAACTGCTTTTCAGGTTGAATCTGATGGACATTACCTTTCTTCTGACATGGTCAAAACCAAACACTGGTTCAAAATATGTAGTGGTCAGTGATTCTTCATACTTTGTAAATTATTTAACCCTTGTTCATTGAAAAGTACAAATAAATGAAATGAAATGAAAAAGTCTTCACACTGTCAACATGACTTGAGGCAATGAAGAATAAAGAGCAAAAACATGCTCTCCAAAATTCTAAACATTGCAGGGAGGGTGATTGGCAAGTTACAAACAAAACAACTTTGCAGTATATTTGACAGTGCTGCACACAGGAAGGCTAAACACAGTTGCAGATACCTCACACCTACTACACTCAAAGCCGGTTCAGGGCCACCAGAATAAATACAAGTCTTTTATCCCCTTTCCGCTGCTACCTGCTCATTTGGACCGTTGTATGTTGCACATGTTGTATGTTTTTAATGGTGTGTTGTGTTATGCGGAGTGTATGTATTTTTTACTGAGCTATGGGAGAAGCCAAAGACAAAATTCCACTGAGGTGGACAATGAAGTCAAATCAAATCAAGGTTTTCACCATATGTGAGCCACTGGGAACTGTGAAAACAGTATCTTTTGAGAATAAATGATTATTTAAATGAACCACTACTGAAATTGATTTCATGTGGCTCACTATAGTTGCTTTCATCGTCAAACCCATCACTTAGTACACACAGAGATTAGCAGTGTACACATCTGGTACATTTTCTCAGCATTTCAAATTGAATATGTGGAAATAAATGTGTCCCGCAGCACAGCGGAAGGTAAAATGTCAATTACTTTACGGCAGTTTAATTGTTTGGCTTGTGTAGAGACATATAATTAAAATAGCTATGACACTATGAAGTTGTATTGCAACAGTCTTTTGTTGAAAATTCCAGCTGAGTGTTCGAGGCTCTGGGTGGAAGCAACCTTTGTTTTTTATGCTCATTGAATTTCAGGTCCACCCACACATGTGGTGAGTTTGAGTAGGTTCTGTCCAATTGTAGGCTGAGCTGAGGGCTTGTTTGGAATGTGAGGTTTGCCCATAATGTTGTGTGTGTCAGTGTTGGAAATGATATAAAGTTGCTGTACCCTGATCAGAATACGAGATGTTGCTCAGTATTTTGGCAGTCGTGTGTAACGTGATGAGAAACTGTTAAGATGCATGCCTCGTCTCTGTCTCTCTCTCTCTCTCTCTGTGTCTGCTGGTCTATCTCGCTCTCTCTCTCTGTCTCTCTCTTGCTTCTTCCACATCAGACAGACTTCAGCATCATCCCAGGGATGATGCTGTAGTGAGGAGCAGGTGTGTTGCCATGGCAACCAGGGAAGTGACTCTCGCCTTTCTCTTTGTGACTCTGGATCAGTCTTCACTCCCAGCTCTGCGTCCTTCAGCCTGCAACTATAGAAAAGTCCTTGAACCTCTGAGACGTGTTCATATAACACCTCTGGGGCTGATCGATAAGGAAGAGTTTGTGCACCATCCAGTGTCTGGCAGGTATGGAACAGTTCTGACCTGCAGCTAAAAACTCTGTAGATTATAGACTGTGCAGATACGTGGAATTCATTGTTTTATTCACTCAAATCCACGTCTCATGTCCAGCTGTCGAGGTGTGAGACATTTGATTTCCACTGGCATAATGTTGAGCTGCAGACAGAAAAGATCAATTGGCAGCTCCCTACACCATTTTCTCATCTGTGTAGCACTGCCCCCCTTTGGCTTACGTGTCAAACTGCAATGCAGCAAGAAGAATATCTGCAAATACAACCTGATGTAACACAGGTGCTGGAGAAGCCTATAATAGAGCTTGGAGTTTCATAATGGAGGCTCGGCAAATGTTTTTCATCTAACACAGATTAGATTTGACTTTTTGAGAGGGGGTATGTAAAGACTGCTGACAGATGAAAGAGAACTGTCTCAGATTCTCAAAGTCTCTGAACTCCACTGGAACAATAAACAACATTCATCCAAAACATATGCCTTCATTTTTTTGGTGTTATGATGATGGTGGTAGAAGTGGTGGCAAATAACTAGTACATTTACTCCACTACTGTACTTCACTACAGTTTTGAGGTATATGTACTTCTACTACTCCTCCGCAGATCAGAGGCAAATGTATTTTTCACCCCGCTACATTTATGTGACAGCCATAGTTGAAAAGTCATATGATAAGCTTAGAAAATGAAAGATTAAACCAGTGGTTCCCAAGCATTTTCACTTCTGATCCCTTAAAAAAAAAAAAAAGTCTACCCAGGGCTCTTTGTCACATTCCAGGTGTCTGTGAGTTGTGAATTGTTACCAATTGATTTCTAATCTAAATTTTAGATGGTTAAATTTCAGAGGAGGTAAAACTACACGGTATTTCACAACTAAAGTCAAGATTATAGAACTGTACCGAAAAGAGGAAACCCATCAGATTTATATTTTGACTTACCTAACTGTATAAAGTAGTTAAAACTAGCTCCACCTGGAGCAACCACAACAAAATTTATTTTCCAGGTACTTCCTGATTTACCTGATGGACTTCACCTATTTGAGGTGGGAGGTTCCAAGATGTCCCCTCTCTCTCTCTCTCTCTCTGTCTCTCTCTCTCTCTCTCAGCCCTCTTGCGAGGTGGGTGGCTTTCAGGCACCCAACTTGATTTTGTTTGGTTGTATATAGTGTTTGGTTGAGGCCTCAGTTCTTGT